GACCGTGAACGAAATGAACCCGGATACGAAAGAAAGGGATCCTGTGCGTAGACTATGTGTGAGTGGAGAGGAATAACGGTACCAATGTTGGGAAACCTACGAGCTTATGAGTCGATCCCTTTCGTATTTTGGTTTTCCGAAGCTTAAGTGTCCCACTCTGGTGGTCTCGGTACGGGGTTGCGTGCACTCCTGTCGACGTATTTATCCAAGGTATCGGTTTCTGAAGTTTAGCTTGAGAGCCCCACTATGGTGATCTCCGTGCCATATGAGACGAATGATGATGAGATTCACGCGCCTCCGAAAGGCATCGTATTCGTTACCTGATGCAAAAACGTGATTGCGTGGACTTCTGTCGGCGTCTATTCCAATGCACGGTAGTTCCCACTTTGTTGGAGATTGAAAGGTAATAATACATGATCATAAAGTTGGCACATCATAGCTTTCACATTTTCTTCCGTTTCGACCGTGGTATCGGATCGAAATCCACGTGCTACTGCTATGACCGTACGGGCAAGTCAGTGGTCTCCGACAGATCCGCGTCCTGTGGCCGGAATTGACGTCGAAGCCCTCTCAAATTCCGTTGTGCACCGACAGAATATTTCTTGCGGTTCCCTCGGCTCTTTCTTCCTCACCTTTTCTACTTGCGAGCCCCACTTTTCTGTGGTAACGTCCTACCGAAATTCGAAACTACGAGCGAACAGTTCCTATGAGCTTGTGCTCACCAGAGCTACGTAGAGCATCGCAGGTGCTATGATTTGTTTATAAACAGCCAGTTTGATCACCTTTGAGAAGCGGGATCTGCGGCAAATCAGCGGATGCAGACGCCTAACCAAGGCAGAACACTTGACTACGGTTTTTTTTCCACATGCTACCGGAAGAGGAGCTTTTCCCGAGATAGGTTACTTCGGCAGACCACTCAACCCTTGTGTCATCCATGATTACAGTACAAGATGGAGCCGATTTTAGCTTGGGCGATTGCCGATGGAGGAACATGTGTTTGCGTAATCAGCAAAGGCGTTAAGGCATCGGTGAAGTTTGTTCGTTATTTCGCGAGGCATCCTTCCTTTGACGGCTATTGCGGTATCATCTGCGAACAGGTAAAACATCGGAAGTGTAGATGCTGTAATGCAAAGGGCCCAATAGACTTCCTTGCAGAAATCCTGCTGGAACGGAAAACGTGTCTGAAAGACAACCATTCAACGATACCTAAAACGACGTTTGCTGGAGGTAGTTACGGGTGATTTTAACCAAATGTAATGGGAAGATGAAGTAACAAAGCTTGTACACAAGTCCGTCATGCCAGATATTGTCGAACGCCTGTTAAACATCTAGCTAGGTCATGGCTATTGGCTTGGATACAGCTTTGTTACTTCGGCTGTTATTCATCACCCGTACTAGCTGGTGATTGGTGGAGTGTCCCTTCCTGAACCCAAACTGTTCCGGAAGGAGAATGTTGTTTTCCTCGACAAACTTGAGCAAACGATTGAGAATGAGATTCTCAAACAATCGCTCAGCGCTGGATCTTTACCGGGTTTGCGGATTGGTATAATTTTTGCTACCTTCCAGATGCTTGGAGAGTAGTGCAGCTCCAAGCATCTGCTGAAGATAGCGGTCAAATGAGACTGCTCTTTCATGCTGAGTCTCTTCAAGATCAAGTTGAGTTGGAGCCTTCATGTTCTTGGTGCATTGTACTGTAATCATATCCGCCGGAGGCACGACACAAGGGGAGGCATCACGGTTTTGTACGCATTGCGCCGATAGTCGAGCCAAGCAAATGCGATGAAGCATTTGCTTTCTCCGGTGGGGTGATTAGAAGCCGATCGTCATCATTTTCGTCTCGGAGAGGTGGAACGGGTTTGGGATGAGTTTTCAAGACCTTGGCTACCTTCCAGAATGGTCTGGAGCGGTCGTTCAGATTCTGGACAACACGTCCGAAACTTTCATTTCGGAGTGAGTCCATTCTGGAAACCCCTCACAGGAACTTGTCGAACACATGCCTCGTCAGCCACGGATATGGCATGTTGGAGTCTTTCCAACGCCCGGTCGATGTCATCTACGGTGTCAAGCGGCGGATCTTCGTCGATGCCTCTGTCAACCACACGTCCAAACTGCACCCAGTTGACGACGTGGTGGTAGTCTTTGCGCAGGCTTGGAGCAGAAGCCACGATGATGCCGACTTCAGCCACCACCGGTTGATGGTCGGAACTGAGATCGTTGTGCACCTCCGGCTTGGGTAGTCCGATGTTCGACAGGAAAAAGTCCAGGTTGGATTGATTGTACAGTCCATGTTGAGCGTGGTAGTTCCGCCAAGCTTAGAAGCGGGTATTCAGGTCGCCCCCAACGATGAATCGGCAGTTAGTACGAGTGATGGCGGTCAGGGCGTTCTTGAATTTGCTTGCTAATCCGTTGTTGGCGGCACACTGCCGAGGGCAGTAAACATCGATGAACCGGACGTTTCCAGTTGGCGATTCCACGTCCACACTAAGAGCCTCGATGATAGAAATACGGATGTGAGGCAGGCAGGGATTCCTTTCTTGACGACGACCGCAACGGAACACCACCCCCTGGAACTGGTGCAATCAACCGGATAAAGTTGTGGTCAGGCAACCAGAAGCTCTCGCCAGACTTTAGGTCGATCTCGGTTAAAAGGCCCAAGTCGATGTTATGCAGGTGACAATATTTAGCGGTTTAGACACCATACTGGATGATGAACTTACCGAGAACTTGAATCTGCTCGAGCTTATTGCGGCACTTACGAAGAGCACCGGTCATGTTGACGAAGATTTCCACCAGTTCATCCGCTGAGAACAGACCGGGGTTGTTTGCTTTGTGCTGTTGGTTGTCTTCAGAATCCAACAGAATCACCGGAAGCTTCTTGATGGGGCGTGAGGAGCACGAAGAGGCGGGGAATCCTCCATCCTGAATTGTTGGTTTCGTTTAAAGTCCTCGGACTGTCTGTCGGAATCTTGATGAGCACCACCACCACAGTTGGCGCATTTTAACGGCTCCATCCGTAGGGTAGTCAGAAATGGCCTGCTCTTGAGCGCAATTGCTGCAGCGTGGCTAGATGTTACAATTGCGGGTACGGTGTCCAAAATTGAGGAACCTCTGGTATTGCGTTACTTCACGATGGCCGCCACGGTATTGTTCCCAGCGTACGATGATGGGAGTCGATCGAGCGGATAGCTTGCAGCGCATTGAGCGTCACCGTCCCTTTCTGAAAGTGCACCATGAAAAGACAATCCGGGTATGTCGTCATGTTTTCATTTCTCCTCGTCATCCGGAAGACAGCGATTGAGGAAAGCTTGTACCGGTTCTTGATTTCGGCTTCGATCATCTTGGGGTCAAAGTTTGGTAGGCCCCTGATGACTATAGTCGCTAAATTTATAGTCTGGCGGATAGAATCTCGGGAACCAATCGAGCAAATCACGACCAACAACAGAAAAGAGCACATCAACTATTGTGAACAAAATTTCGGAAACTGTTTTCTCGTGACTAAAGGATCGCCTACACAAACTAACGCCATCTTTAGGTTGTGAAAAATTTCCCCTATCCGAGATGCTCGTAATTTACCTTCGATTGGCGAGGAAAGAATAATCAACGTTTTGTTTATAAAAGTTGATAGTACCTTTTCAATTGTTGGTCTATAATATATTGAAATGGTTCCGCTTTTTTATAGATCGAAATTCTATCCTCCAGACTATGCATATAGCGACTATACTGATGACTACCTTGAAGGGCTTGCGTGTGTTTCGCCTTGGCATCCTTCAAGTAGTTCACGGCCACCTCATACTCCGCTTTGGTACGGAGCATCACCTTGGTGCCGATCCTGCTGAGCTTAAACTCAGCTGCGACGCCAAGCGACGTCACTCCATAAATGTTCGATATTGCTCCCAATCAGTTCTATGGTAATTGAAAGTAGAGCTGTTGGAATTAGACATTAATTCTTGGGATATTTCAAAAGTTACTGGAAGGTGATCAGAACCGAGGTCAGCATGATTAACCAATTGGCTACACATTTGACATGAATCAGTTAAGACCAAATCAATAGTTGAGGAATTTCTTGCTGAACTGCAGCCGTCCTTTGCGTAAGAGGAATCACCACAATTCATGCATTTAGCTGGCATGTAGCAATTTTATGTTCCGTGACCCCATCCCTGACATTTTCGCCATTGGGTGAGGTTTTGCAAATTTCCTCTAGTCTTCTTGAAGTGTTCCCCTCTTCACTCGGACATGGAGCATAAAGCTTGCTTTTTCGAAGGCCTTAAGGTTGTTTAGTTCACTAGACTTGAAGTGAACTAAATAAAAATCATTAGAAGTCCCGTTGCGCGAATCGCTAGGACGGGATTTCATTTTCATTTTGATTACTTTGACTGGCACAACTCCAAGTAATGTTGTCAACTCATTTATGATCTTACATAGGGATTCACCACTGGGCAGACCTTTCAAGACAACCTTGAACAGACGTTGTTCAGTTTTGGTGTCGTAAGTGAAACATTTGTGTTGCTTCTCAGCAATATACTTGAGAAGATGTTTGAATCCGTCCAAGGTTTCAGCCAATAGACGGCATTCACCCCGACGGCCACTCCAATTGGAAGTGCACACTTGAATTTATCCAAGTTCAAAAGTTCCGTGCGCAGAGCATGGAAATCGGAAGTGGTTATCACAATAGGAGGGACCTTTTACTTCAGTATCGTATCGTATAAGCAATAGCATAGCATACAATCAGCTTGAGGATTCCTTGTATCTATTGATCTTGTAACCAGTACCTTAAAAACGTGATTGTAAAAACACGCAACAGTTTTATCATGAGCGGGAAGCGGCTGAATCTGTTATCAATTTTCAATTCAAATGAGTGCTGCTTCTATATAATAAAAACACGGAAACACCAACGAACAACGGGGACAGTTTGATTACAACGATCCCTTCATTATGCACCTACTTCTACTATCTGCTAGTCATAATTTACACTGTCTATCGCATTGTTTACCTTTTTCCAGATCAATACACTAACCGGCACCGTACCACTTGCTTCCTTATCGTTGCAGCACTGGCCAAGTTATGGAGGGGACCAAGCAACCGGTTGCGCTTCCCGTGTGTCCCGCACAGCATGCAAGTTTCCTGTCCTACATCGTGTTCGGCTGGGTGCTGCCCATCTTCTACAAAGGCGGCAAGAAAGAACTCGGTCCCGAGGATCTCTACCAACCGCTGACGACCCACAAGTCGAGCAACTTGGGCAACCGTATATGCCATGCGTGGGAAGAAGAAGTCGCCAACAAGCGTAGCAAAGGCAAGGAACCCAGCCTGATGAGAGCCGGCTTCCGAGTGTTCGGCTGGAACATCGTTTCGCTGGGACTGATCCTACTGGTGCTAGAGTTGGCATTCAAGGTGACTCAACCCATCTTCCTCGGTGCACTGGTGGCGTACTACTCGAAACAGAATGGTGACATCAACGAAGCGTATCTGTACGCGGTAGCCGTTGTCCTGTGCAGTGCCATCAGCGTACTGTTCATGCACTCGTACATGCTTTCCCAGCTGCATCTCGGAATGAAACTACGAGTAGCTGCCTGCAGCATGATCTACCGGAAGTCTCTCAGGCTGAGCAAAACCGCTCTCGGCGATACCACCGCCGGACAGGTAGTGAATCTCCTCTCGAACGACGTCGGCCGGCTGGATTTGGCCGTACTGTTTGTGCACTATCTGTGGATTGGACCGCTGGAAACGATCGTTGTTACGTACCTCATGTACCGGGAGATTGGCATTTCCGCGATATTCGGTGTCATATTCCTGCTGATGTTCATCCCACTGCAGGCGTACTTGGGCAAGAAGACTTCGGTGCTGCGTCTGCAGACAGCACTGCGAACTGACGAGCGAGTGCGGCTGATGAACGAGATCATCCAGGGCATACAGGTGATCAAGATGTACACGTGGGAGAAACCGTTTGCCAACCTCGTCGAGCTGGCCAGAAAGTGAGTATTGAATTCTGAACTGTCTTTGAGCGGTCCCTAAAAAGCTACCGTAAAGTACCATAATTCTGCGCATCTAAGGCTTAATTCCGCGCAGTATTGTATATAATTTTAATTGATTTGTACCTTAAGGTAGGTATTAATCACTTGGCACTTTGCGGTTACCTAGTCATTCAGAAATTTTGAAACTTCCTTCATTCATCCAAGAAAGGTTTTAACTAAAAATGTACTTCATCTAGTCTTTTTCCGTTCGCTTCTTCCAGGAAGGAAATCAAAGTGATCCGCTACGTCTCGTACATCCGGGGTACCCTGTTGTCCTTCATCATGTTCACCACGCGCGTTTCGATCTTCATCAGCTTGATTGCCTACGCCCTGCTGGGCAACTTTGTCACGGCCGAGAAAGCCTTCACCATCACCGCGTACTACAACATCCTCCGTGCTACGATGACCATCTTCTTCCCGCAGGGTATTGCCCAGTTTGCCGAAGCGATCGTCTCCATCGGGCGTATCCAGAAGTTCATGAGCTACGAAGAGGTGGAAGGCGTCATCGGTGTGTCGATGAGTGATCCCGAGAAAAGCGACGAAGACAGCTTGCTGGACAGCAGTGTCAGTGAAGATGTGAAAGCCCCAGATCAGAACAAGATGATCAAACACTCGGAATCGGACGGCTTGAACGAGAATTCGCATTCGCAGCAGCACCTGTCCGAGGCTGGAGTGATTGTGGACTCGGCAACGGCTCGATGGGATCCGAAAGCATCGGAGTACACTTTGGAAGGGGTGAATCTGCACGTGCAACCTGGTACGCTGGTGGCTGTGATTGGACCGGTAGGAGCCGGGAAGTCCAGTCTGATACACGCGATCCTCGGGGAGCTACCACTGGAAGGTGGCAGCATCAAGGTGAACGGTGATATCTCGTATGCCTCACAAGAACCGTGGCTGTTTTCGGCGACCGTTCGACAGAACATTCTCTTTGGACTACCCATGGACAAGGAACGGTACAAAAGAGTGGTGAAAACGTGTGCGTTGGAAAGAGATTTCCAACTGTTTTCCAATGGAGACAAGACAGTGGTGGGTGAGAGGGGAGTATCCTTGTCCGGGGGACAGAAGGCACGTATCAGTTTGGCTCGGGCGGTGTACCGACGGGCTTCGATATATCTTTTGGACGATCCACTGAGTGCCGTGGATTCCCATGTGGGACGTCATCTGTTCGACTACTGTATGCGAGATTTCCTGAAGGGGAAGGTGGTTGTCTTGGTGACTCATCAGTTGCAGTACTTGCAGAATGCTGACCAGATTGTGATACTGAAACACGGCAAGGTGGAAGCCGTGGGAAGCTACGAAAGTTTAAGGGAAACGGGTTTGGATTTCGCCCAACTGCTGGCAGCTCCCAGTGGAAAGGAGGACGACGACAGTACCGATACGGAGTCGTTCAAACGATCCGGTAGCTTGTACAAACGGCAAAACAGTGAATCAAGTGTAGATTCTGCAACTATCGACGCGGATAAAGAAGCTCCGCTGGCGAACGAGGAAAAAAGGCAGGAAGGGGCCATTGGGTATGGCGTATACAAAGCGTACTTCAAAGCAAGCGGAGGCTATGTGATCGTTCTGATGCTGTTGGCGGCCTTTATCCTCTCGCAATTGGCGGCTTCCGGTGGAGACTACTTCCTGACGTATTGGGTGAACAAAGAGGAGTCCCGAATCAGCACGGTGGACACCGACGTGCCAGCGAGTGCCGATGGACTCAATTCAACGGATGCCTTAGATTTGCTAGATGTACGGAACGTGACGGATATCGTTGCTTCGAATTCTACGGGCAATGCAATTACGGATGTTTTCAGTGGACTATTCGACACAATCCGCCAGTTTACTAGTTCGGAAGACGACGAACGATTGATTGACATCTACATTTTCTCCGCTCTGACGATTGCAACCGTGGTTATCACGCTGAGCAGAAGCATGTTCTTCTTCCAGGTAAGTAAACATTGCACGGGCAGTATAGTTTAACAATTGTCATTTTCGTTACTCAGGCCGCCATGCGCGCTTCCCGCAGACTTCACGACGCCATGTTTAACGGTATCACCCGTGCCACCATGTACTTCTTCAACACGAATCCATCCGGACGAATTTTGAACCGTTTCTCCAAGGATATGGGCCAGATTGACGAGTACCTACCGTCGGTGACGGTGGATGTGATTCAGATTTTCCTCTCCCTGCTCGGTATCGTCATCGTGGTGGCCATCGTCAATCCGTACAATTTGATTCCCACCGTTGTGATTGGGATCATTTTCTACTTTATGCGAGAATACTACCTGAAAACGTCCCGCAATGTGAAAAGAGTGGAAGCTACTAGTAAGTGCGATCTTTGTGCCGATCAACTGCGAGAACTAATGACACATTCTTCCTCCTACAGCCCGATCTCCGATCTACTCGCATCTATCGGCCTCGCTGTCGGGCCTGTCAACCATCCGTGCCTTTGGGGCGGAAAAGGTTCTCGTGCGTGAATTCGACGGCCATCAGGATCTGCACAGTTCTTCGTTCTACCTGTTCATATCGACGTCGCGTGCCTTCGGTTTCTACCTGGACGTATTTTGTGTAATATACATAGCCATTGTTACGCTAACGTTCTTCATCAAAAAAGACAGCGGCGGAAACGTGGGCCTTGCCATTACCCAAGCCCTGGGTATGACCGGAATGGTCCAGTGGGGAATGCGCCAATCTGCCGAGCTGGAAAATACAATGACTTCGGTCGAACGAGTGGTGGAATACGATACGGTAGATCCGGAACCGGCTCTCGAAGCTGAAGGGGATAAGAAACCGCCGAAAGAATGGCCCCAGGAGGGTCGAGTTAAGTTCGACAAACTTTCGCTGCGATATCATCCGGATTCGGACACGGATCGGGTGCTGAAAGAACTGGATTTTGAAATTCAACCACGTGAAAAAGTCGGAATCGTCGGACGCACCGGTGCGGGCAAATCGTCCCTTATCAATGCCCTCTTCCGGTTGTCGTACAACGAAGGTTCGATCGTCATTGATACACGCAACATTCACGAGATGGGACTGCACGATCTGCGTGGAAAGCTCTCAATCATTCCGCAGGAACCGGTACTATTTTCCGGAAGCCTACGCTACAATCTGGATCCATTCGACGAGTATCTCGATGAGAAATTGTGGCGTGCCTTGAAGGAGGTTAAGCTGGAGGAAGCGGTCAACGAGCTGCCATCCGGGCTGTCGTCCAAGATCAACGAGGGAGGAAGCAACTTTAGCGTCGGCCAACGGCAGCTGGTTTGCCTGGCGCGGGCAATCTTGCGGGAGAATAAAATTCTGGTGATGGATGAGGCGACGGCCAACGTGGACCCACAGACGGACAAATTGATTCAGCAAACTATTCGGGACAAGTTTGATGACTGCACGGTACTGACGATCGCCCACCGATTGAACACGGTCATGGACTCGGATAAGGTAATGTAGACCACAAATTTAGCCGCGTTGAGTTACAAAAATTCAAGAAATTTGAAATTTGGTTTTTATGAAAGTTGTACAGTAAAACTTTTAACCCGGGATTGGTTAATTGACTCGATTTGAGGTTTTCAGGATATTGTTCATGACTTCATTGAGTCTGTAGAACTGCAAGATCTGAGTTCCAGATCTCAGTTCCAGGTTTTTTTTTTCTGATTTTACACTTATTTTGGAGGGATAATTTTAAAAATAAACGTTATGGAATGCATCTATGTTTACTAAAAAATATTGGATAAAATCAGGCATAACATTTGATAACGGCACAAAAGCATTTGTAAACAAACTTTCTAAGGCCCTTTACACGCGAACCAAAGTACGCCCACGCAAACCTACAACATCATCGGATAGGGGCAACTATCACCTTTTCAAAAGTGGTATTGGTTTGCGTGGGTGTTCTTTGGTTCGCGTGTAAAGGGCCTTAGAAGGTTTGTTCACAAATGCTTTTGTGCCGTTATCAAATGTTATGCCTGAAATATCGTCAAATTTTTATTTTACGACCACAATTAGTGGGAATGACTTGCGATCACATTTAACGTCAATGAGACAAATAACCTCAAGTCAGTCATAATGCCATGACGATGCTGCATTAGTTTAGCACCGTATTGAACAGTAGAAAGATACCATGGTCCCTTATAACGTTATTGAATGTTTCTGGATTCGTTCCACTGGTTCCATAGCAATGGCCGGAACATATTCCGGCGAGCATGGGTCTTCAGACCAGAACTTTTCAAAAACGTGCCAATCCCACCAAGTGATAAATAAATTCACATGAGAATCCGAAAATAAGATCAATAAAAGCCATGATGAGTGACCAGCAGCATGTTGGCCACACCCGGACATGTTCCGGATATCCCCAGGGAAGTGGTAAAACCCTTTTAAATCAAAATCCATCATGCGACACATCAAATCACACGATCATTCAAAGCCATATCCATTGAGGGTCGTAAGAACTACATTGGCCACATCCGGACATGTTCCGGATACCCTAGGGGAAGTGGACAGAATCTGTCTTGAGTCAAATCTCATGATGCGATATGTTGTCTAACATTCTTAATTCTATAGAAGCCTAAAAACATAGCTGCGACTTTTCGCTGTGTGACAATTTGACTTGGTATTGTGTTTCATTTTTCTTGAACAAACCACCTTTTTCAATAGCACAGCTCAAAGAACATTGAAAGATAAATGATGATGCTAACTCAAAATTAATAAAAAAAATACATATGAGACTGACTTTCGGTTACCGCCTGTAAATATCTTATTGATACCATTCCATAATGTGCGACAACATGCAAGCATCATGGACTCATAAAGTCTGTAAGTCTTCAAGATCTCAGCTCCAGAATGGTTTAATAAGCATTGAATATCTTACTGTTATCATTCTATGATGTACAAGTTATCATGAAGGCGGCGCCGGTGGTGCATTGGTCAACGTGATTGCCTTTCATCCCAAAAGCCCTGGGTTTAATCCCAGTCGGCGCCGCCGGGATTTTCTAAGGCATAAAGGCTGAGGCTTTACAAAGCTCGGAAGATGTGTTGAAAAGTCGGGAACGGTGCGTACCATACCACATTGAGTATAAAGGCATTTTAGAAGTCACGATATATAGTGGGACAACCCCTTGCAAAAGAGGTCGTACTGAAATTTTTCGTTTAAAATCGTAACCAACATACTTTTTAAGCAATTTGTAGGGTGATTAGTCATTTTATTTTCACCGGAAAAACCGGGAATTTTAATAATCCAGTTTGTTTAAACGGAACAAAAGATATGGAAAAGCGGACAGCGATCGGCTACTTTCTACCAGAGCTGTGGCACCACCAACGAGATGGGAACCGGCTTTGTAGTGCTGGCTAAGAAGCGCCAAAGCGTGATTGGTTGGCAGCCAATCAACGCGAGGATGTGCAAGTTGAAGATTAAGAGCCGTTTCTTCAACTACATCATCATCAACATGCACTGTCCACACAAAGGGAGATTCGACGACGAGAAAGAAGCGTTTTATGCGCAGCTGGCAGGGTGGCCAGATTAATTTTTACATTATCGGTACCTTCTCAAACCTTTATCGGTAGTTATCGGTAGGCAGTCTTAAGAAGGCTTTCCCGATACTTGAAACTTTTGTGAGTGGGGAGGGGCTTGGCTCCAGAACAATATACTGTCCTTCAGCTCTTCTGCTTTGAACTAGAAATACTCAGAGGGAAAGATGGGTGGAGAAAACAATTCAGCAGCAGGGATTTGTACCAACATTATCTTGCAACCCTTGCTAGAAGCTAGCATTTCAACTGACTTTTATTCTTGATTCAATTTACGTGGAAAATAATAATTGACTTCATCGCAATATTTTGCACATTTCTTGGTGCCATTAATTAACCAACTTGAGAAGCACACGAAACATTAAGCTGATTGAATTTCTGTTCGATTACAATACTCTCAAATTTAATCTAGTAAGAATAAGAAATCCTCGGAAAAAAAATCTAAATGGAATGTTCGATTGGCTCAGACACGGAAAACAAAACATAGGTTAAGAAATGTTTTCAAGATTACTAAAAATCTCGGTGATTCTCAGGCATATTGGACGTTAAAATAATTTTCATGCCATTGGCAAGAACATGATAGATACTTATAACAAACCTTTCATCAAGCGGTGTTGGTCTAGTTAGGTAATAACAAGTCTACCACGCCAAGGACCAGTGATCGAATCCCATGCTAAAGTTTTTTTTATTGTTTTTTTTTTGTCGCTTGTTTTTAAGATGTTTCCAAAACATGTTATAAGACCAGTATTTAGTTGTATAAGCTCCGCGTCTTGCGCTTTTTAGGTTGTATAAATATATTAAATGATGTATGTTAAAGTATTAGTGATTCTTTGCGTTAGTCATTACAAAGTATTTTCAACTTCTTTATGACAAGCCGTGTTGCTTGGGACCTCCCCCCCTTGGACTTTTGTGATTGTGCTTCACAAGTCCAAAAAACTTTTGGAAAATCTAATGGTTTTCAGGAAAGTTCCATTAGTTTCAGGAGAATTGAGAGAACTTTAGGCAGCTCCAAGAACATCAGGACAGATCAATAAATTTCAAGGAAATCGCTGAGATTTTAAGGGAATTCCGAGAAACTCAGGCAATTTCCGAAAACTTCAGCAATGTTCCGAGGGGCTCATGCAAATTTAAGAAACGTAATGGAAGTTACATGAACATAAGCACATTTCGAGAACATTTAATGGGAAGGTCCGTGCTTATTAATGGCAGTGTTGATAACTATTAAAAATTAGAAAAATCGGGAATATCAGAGAACTTTAATGCTGATGTTACAATAAATTCAAGAAAATTGCGAGAGCCCTTAAGAAATTTCGTATCTTCAAGAAAGTCTAGAGACTTTCAAAGTTGATTAGAGATATTTAGGTAGTCTCATTATAATCAAGGAAGTTCCAAGTATTTCAAAGTCTTCAGGGATGTTTTATGACCATTTGGAAAATGTTCCGGAATAGTTAGAACATCCCTCAAGAGCTCTTTCTTCCGGAATTATGTCCTTGTTTCTTTCGACTGTTCCGTTAGCGCTCTGGCTTCCGACTTCCTCCAGAATTTTTTCCCAATCTACCTTAGGAGGTTTCTTCTGTCTTCTGCAGGAAGCTCAATTAAACTTCTCCCAGAGATTTCTTTCGTCTAGTTCTGGAATTTTGTATAATTGAATTTTTTTTACTTCTATTGGAAGGTTTTTCCGAGCTCCTGCCTTCCTGGCTTCCCCTGGAAATGGCTACTTCTGGAATTTATTTTCGATTTCCAAAACTTTTCTGCCTTCCTTTGAACGTAAAATCCGATTTTTTTTCTGATTGTTTCTTTAAATTTTCGCTAGAAGTTTCTCAATTTATGTCTTGGAAGTTTCGCGGATGATTTTCCGACTTCTCTCAGATCTTTCCTCAAATTTCCTCCAGGGGAGCTTCTTTTTTCTTTCTCTGGATGTTGTTGTCAACTTCCTCCAGAAGCTTATTCAAACATTCCCCGGAGTTTTCTTCCGAAAGTTTCCGATCATAGTCCAAAAGATAAAAAAATTCGCTTTCAAAATCGGCAAAAATTTAAAATGAATTAAAATAGTAAATACCGATAAGTACCGAATTTTTTAAACCTTTGGATACCGATAAGCTTTAAACATTCTGGCAACGCTGGCTGCAGCACGGAAATTTCACCAGCATAAGCAAACCAAATCAAATATGTTCCAAGAAGACTGATTTTAGTCCTGGTGCATGCCGGTTCGTTAGCTATACTCCGTCGGATGGATTCCGGAAAGCTGGGTGCAAGGTTGCAAAGACTCATTTCAGCTAAAACAATGTTTTTCTAAATTATGAAATAATTAGATGCCATGATCAAATTTTGAATTGGTAGGATACAAGAAGAGGTTGCAAAGAATGTGTTTGACATATTAAACCTGTTTATTTCACTTCATGAGAGTCACAATCAGCGATTTTTCACAAACTCACTCACTCACTCACTCACTCACTCACTCAGCGATCAGCAAATCGCTGATTGTGACTCATAGAAAGCAAAATTTACAGGTTTTATGTTTCCAACGCATACTTTGTAACCTCTTCTTGTAAGTTACAAGTAAAACATGCCATCATACCATCTTTTGGTTTTATTATTCCGAAAAACATTATTTTAGCTGAAATGAGTCTTTGCAACCTTGGCTGGGTGTGGTTCTTCATCAGTGGCGTTGACTATAGAATAGTACAACAACGATAACAACTGCGAGGTGGAGGTGGAACTGTTCAATCGGCTGCAAGCGGAAGACGACTAGGCTACGTGAAGATTAGCAGGGATTTTGAAAAAAAAAATTAAGTTTATCGATTTCCTCGAGATGAACAACTTCGAGCTGTCGAAGTGGTTCCTGCTGTATGCCAAGGGGGTGGTTCGAATGGGTTAAGGATCGGGTTTAGGTTGTTGAAATGTATTCAGGTATGATGTAACGTAACTGTCACTTTTGACTTTCATCACTGATTTCTAGCTAACAATCATTAAATCAAGCAATGTAATAACACCATCGAAGATATGAGACAATCCACCATCTATTGTTCATTCCAATTTGAATAATTGAACTGTTATTTGTGAGATATCGACGATGGAAGTCAAAAGTAACAGTTACTTTATATTGAGGTATACCTGTATTGTTAGACGAAAAACGCCTATCTAATATGTCGAAGACTGCACAATAGGATGAGCTACCGGTGGCTATGACGATCGCTCATCAGAGGAGGATGATTTGTATGACGCTATGTATTTGGCCACCGTGCCTGTGGAATGGACCCATGTAAACCATGTTTTCCGATATTGTCACTACCGGAAACGACAAGCAATTGCTGCAATCACGTTGGTTGCAAAAGTTGTTGACCCTGAGGGTGATCTAGTTATTGCTGTTGCTGGTTATGATGTCGGCGCTGCTATTTATCACCGCACTTCAACAACTCTTGCAGGAAAATAGACGAAGTACTGGCTGCAGGAGAGATCCGAGCAAAGCCCTATATGGTTGACTTCTAATCCGGGATACGATCGTCTAGTCCGATGTATTTATTAAATTCATCCTGAAGCGAAGATCTGCAACTGTCAACAAAGTGCGAAACCTTAGCAACTATAGGAAAATCGTTAGCAAAACCAGTGATGCCGTTTTATAATATATTCTGTGTCATTCTTGTCATTCTTTGTGCGTGCCGAGCAGTGTGCCGTGATGTGTTTCGGCACAGTGTGCAGAGTTGATTACCGCTTGTTCCTTGCTGTTATATTGTAAGTTCAATTTCACTACATGTTTTCTCGATTTGGCCGCTCTGCAATTGTTGAAAGTGTACGGAAGTGATTCGGACGTTTTTTCTTAAGAACAATTTGCTGGAATCGATTCAACGGTAGTAAATAGAAGAAAGTTTCCGCAAAGGAGAGAAGCTGGATCAATCGACTGGAGAAGATGAAGCAGTAGATAGATTCCGATGGAAGTTTTTTTTCGGCGAAGCTGGTTCGAATAGATGTAAGGTGTCGAAGAAAGAAGCAAGAAGGAAGGACGACAAACGTCCTGTTATTCACGATGCCTGCGGGTGTTTGAAAGACTGCAAGAAACATATTTTGAAAGATAACAGAATTGAAGTAAACCGTATAGGTATTCTGGAATCTTGCTGGAATTCGGGATAATGGCAGTCAAGCAAACAGGCTATTTGGGATATCGTCCTGCACGGTTATGGGGTTCAGTCAGGCAGGCAACCATTGAATAATGCTCAGAAACGATCTACATTCAATGTTGTTTTCTCTCACCTCAGGTATTGGTAATGGACGCCGGGCGTTGTATCGAATTTGGAACACCGTACGAACTGCTAACAGCCCAGGATGGCCCGAGGATATTCTACGGAATGGTCAAGCAAACCGGGAAGAGCACATTCGATAGCTTATTGAAAATTGCCAAGGAGGTAAACTGACTAGTCGGCTTCGTTTGATCCGTTTAATATTGATAAAATTCCCTGCTTACAGACTCACGAGAAGAAGCACCATACGGATAGTGAACAAACTGCTACCTAAAATCTTTATCTCGTAAGGTTTTACGCATCCGTCTCATCTCATCGTTATCGATCTTCACTTAATAAAGTACTACTTAGTAGTATACACATATTGAATCTAAGCTATAGCCTAAGTGTGAAATTTACAGAACTGGTTAATTGAATTGTGTGCCTGATTACAAGTGCTACTTAATGAACAACTTCTAGATACCGATATACATTATAAGTACAAAGCAGATTGAATTATTGTTCATCTTTAGAAGAGACCAAACAAAGTGGTAGCTGCGGAAACTGAAATTAGCGATCTTACTTAAGTCTGGCGCTAAAGGTCTGTTTACTGGATAGTGAGAAATTTAAAAAGTTTATAATGCAGGGTTTGTCAGTTCCACAGTTTGACCGAATCGATAAACATATCAAAAACAGCTTAATTTGTTACTTAAGTATTGATTTTTATTTTGTTTTGTTATGCTTTACCCGTGGCATGCATCCACTTGGTAGACTGTCACTTATATGTAACTATGTTCGTACTTTGAGTTTATTAAAATTTCGCCCGAATCTGCTGAAATTAGCAATTGAAAGTTTAGTTTTTCGATTTACCTATCACAGTGTCGCAGATTTATTTTTATGATAGTTTAATAAACATGTGTTCAATAAAAAAAGATTTCCAATTGGTCCGATCAATCCCCTATATGAATCAATCACCATTCACCGATATTCTTATCTTATCATGCCATTGCCCTGGCGATTGTCATATTGTCTACCAACTTCAGCAACAATATCTCATTTTACAACTGAAGGAAACCGTTATCGGACGTACAAATGGATCGTTGGACCGGTAAAGTAGCTGTAGTAACCGGAGCAAGCTCCGGAATCGGTGCCGCAACGGCCAAAAGGCTAGTTCAGGCGGGAATGGTGGTAGTGGGCCTGGCCCGCCGAGTAGAGCGTACCGAAGCGCTGAAGGACGATCTGGATGAATCTATCAGGCATCGTTTCCATGCGGTCAGGTGCGACGTTTCCAAAGAGGAAGACATTCTCAAAACTTTCCAATGGATTGAAGAGACACTAGGAGGCGCCGATGTTCTGGTAAACAATGCTGGAATCTACCGAAATACGAAACTGATAAATGCTGATAACACGACTATGATTCGTGAGGTGATGGACACTAACGTGCTGGGGCTGATCTTCTGCACCAGGGAAGCTTTTCAATCGATGAAGAAACGATCGGTTGACGGCCATATACTGCATATCAACAGTGTAGCAGGTCACAAGAGCAGTCTGCCGAACATGAACATTTACTGTGCCTCCAAGTTTGCAGTAACGGCTCTGACGGAGACACTCAGGCAGGAATTCAAGGCCGAAGGCACAAAGATTAAAGTTACGGTAAGTCTCTAGCAGCGAGATTTTGTTTAAGGGGGAAACATCATTGAACTTTTGTTGCATTGCAGAGCATCAGTCCCGGGGCGGTGAGGACGGAGATTTTACCGGAATCCATCACTTCCCAGCAGGGCATTCCGATACTGGAACCTGAGGACATAGCCGATGCTGTTTTCTACGCTTTGAGTACACCGCCTCGTGTACAGATCCATGAGCTTACAATCAAACCTGTTGGGGAAAGGTTTTAAGAAGATCACGATCCTAAACAACCGGCCAAATCAGTTGAGGATAAATAATTTCTCCTATCCGATGATGTTGTTGTTTTGCGTGGGCGAACTTCGGTTCGCGTGTAAAGGGCTTTACAATTTTTGTGCCGTTTTCAAATGTTATGCCTTCCTTTAAAAAAATACTTTATATATAAACAACATATTTTGAAGCTGCTTTGGTAAAAAATAAATCATTCGTATGACTGGAAAAAAAATGTGACCTTGGAACGGCAGTACTTTTTAATTCCTCTTGTTAGCATTCCCCCCCTATTCTGCGAGTCACGTGACTCTCTCTCACCGGTGAGGTGACAATAGTCACCTCGTGTGAGGTGACTCGCCATTTGATTTGCACGGAGAGTCACCTCACACGAGGTGACAATTGTCACCTCACCGGTGACAGAGAGTCACGTGACTCGCAGAATTAGGGGGATTAGCATTAGCATCGAACAAGTTGCACAATATCGATGACTATTTGCAGAGTGAAGAAGAGGCGTGTCAAGTTGTAGAAGAGGTCAAACTGGTCCTCATAAATGTCCCGGGAATTTAGGAATTATGTTAGTAGGGAAGGTAAGCCATAGGATACACCCAGTCAGTGTTGCTGGCAAATGTAGATTTTTTTTTATAAATGTTGAGCATTTGTGATTTCGAAATGTGATGTTTCGAAATCTGGCGCGTATTTAGTAATATATCAAAATATTCATTTATATAATATTGATTTATAATCAGATGGATCTCACCAAATTCTGCCTCCGAAAAAGCCCCGGTTTGTTCACTCGCGTTAATCGAAAAAAAAAATCTTCCGCGAACCGAACACAAAATTTTGAATCACATGCGTTTTTCATTTGCACCGAATTTTTGTCTAACACCTCATTCGCGTGCATTCTCCGGAAGACCCCTCTTATATCCTGAAAATATTTTTTTTTCCTTCACGAAACGAAAATCAATAAGGTATTTTATTCATGTGTTTCACTTATACATTTTTGCCAAAACATCAGCCTTATACATTCCATAAAACAAACCTCATAGGTTCTATAAGAATGCATAAAAGATATGTGTGACCGCTAATACATTTCATTTGACACATGAGCTTCATTAACAACTTGCAAGGCGCCTGTTTATTAGTTGACTTATACATTTTATTAATAATCGGCAATAGAAATTTGCCAAAAGGTATAAGGAGATTTCTATCCGTGCAGAGATGTGCCTCAGAACATCCCGGAGGCGCCGACTGTGATTGAACCCAGGCTTGCTGGGGTGTGAGGTAATCACGCTTACCACTACACCAGTGGCGCTCGCTGTGAAAATAATTGTTTTCTTTATCTTTTCTTACAAAAACGATCCATTATTTATTACTTTAGGTCCTTCATAAATCTTCATGAGAACAGCATATGTTTACCCATTGTTTACATTTTACCCCAACGGTTGTGTGTCAGCAGGAGCGTGATTCTGTGACACCCATTATTGTTCACTGCAAAAAGGCTATTTATAATTTATAGGATGGTATTTGACACCCTAGATTTAAACACTCTTTTCCATATACCTACTCATTATTTTTGAAGCTGTGCCAAAGGTAAAATAAAGTTACCCCTTCTAATTTGGTAAATGTGCACTTTTTAATAGCATCATGTAGAGTAAATGATGGCTTCGGCAAACCCAATTGTAATTGTAATTTATTTAATTTACGATACCCTGTTGGTTGTACCACAGACAAACAGACGTAACTCTTTGAAAAACTTGTTCTTGAAAACATAGTATCTCAAAACATATAACCTCAGTAACGACATCTCTCTGGCTTCTCGCGGAAAACAAGCTTGCTCGCTAACTCGTAAACAAGATTGCATAAAAGTTCTATAGAATGTATAGAAACGTCAAAGTGATCTGATGCCAGCGCTGCGGCGAGTAGTTTGCGGAACTGATAATATTCAAATCAACCGTTAAATGCATGAACGAAGATACACAATGAAGAGTTACGTCTGTTTGTCTGTGGTTGTACCCTTTGTCAATGTCATGTAAACGCTAATTTCGTTGTATTTTTTTCCATCATAACACTTTGCTGAACGTATTTAAACGATTGATTAGTCTTTCAGCTTCAATCTGATTACATTTTTACCAGTGAGCAAACCTGTTACGCCAGGTTTTTCTTCAAATGAAACATACGCACTACAAAATATGACTGATTTCGAGTTGCCGATAATAGAACAACAATCAATATGAAACTAACGATTTTAAATTGGCTCACTACTTGACTAGCCTATTGGTCCCAAGCAAACGATTAACGTACCCCATTCTAGTCAAGATTCTAGTACTACACAATGTTTGTTTTGATTCGCTATGAAAGTTTGACAGATAAAATGAGGGGTTAGTGGACTTTCCTACACAGAAAAACAAAACTACCCACCGCTTGGGTTTTTTAAACTTAAATTTGAGTTATTTGACCTCTGTCCGTTTCATTTCCTCTCGCTATTGTTGTCTAAAATAGAACGAAAGATTCGACTCAACCGTCTAGTTCCGTACGAGAAGCCAAAATTGAGTAATATGCGATATACCCAAATTTGAGTTAATTGAACTTAATTTTGGGTAGAAAAAATTGAAAATAACTTAGCGATGGGTAATTTTTTTGCCGTGCTTAAATGCAAACTACTTTGAGCCGCTTTACCCAAATTTGGCTTATCGTACGGAACATGGGAGATGAGTGAAAAGAACTTAATTTTGGGTTGTTTTGAATTTCTGTGTATGTTTCGAGTAGAAATACTAGAAGGAGAGATGAGCGAAGAGAATGTTTTGAGCCAAATGAACTGTCAAAATCTGAGCCAAACGACCATTCCGATTAGATTTTTTCCGAGGATTTCTTATTCTTACTACACAGAAATTCAAAACAACCCAAAATTAAGTTCTTTTCACTCATCTCCCATGTTCCGTACGATAAGCCAAATTTGGGTAAACCGGCTCAAAGTAGTTTGCATTTAAGGACGGCAAAAAAAATTACCCATCGCTAAGTTATTTTCAATTTTTTCTACCCAAAATTAAGTTCAATTAACTCAAATTTGGGTATATCGCATATTACTCAATTTTGGCTTCTTGTACGGAACTAGACGGTTGAGTCGAATCTTTCGTTCTATTTTTGACAACAATAGCAAGAGGAAATGAAACGGGCAGAGGTCAAATAACTCAAATTTGAGTTTAAAAAACCCAAGCGGTGGGTAGTTTTGTTTTTCTGTGTAGATTACATTTGAGAGTATTGCAATCGAACAGAAATTCAATCACCTTCATGTTTCGTGTGCTTCTCAAATTTATCTAGTTTTTGGAATCAAAAGCAATATTCTAACTCTATTGATTAATTGAAATGTGGAAAATATTGCGATGCAATCAATTATTAATTTGCACGTAAATCGAATCAAAAGTAAAAGTCATGTGAAATGCTAAGTTTTAGCAAGGGTTGCAAGATAAATTTAAATACAAATCCCTGCTGCCGAATTGTATTTTGTTTTCTCCACCCATCTCTCCCTCTGAGTATTTCTGTTGGTAGTACCTCTATGGTTCTAATGAAAAGGTTGCCGAAGAAAAAGAGATCGTCAAGTCGACGATGACAGGAGCACATATCGTGGTAGGGGTAAACAATAGTTGCAATTTCCAAACCTACGACTGGATGCCTTCCTTCAAATAACAACTGAAGTGCGGTAAAAAATCGGTAGAACTGTTTCAAACACACATTTGGTACTTGAGCGGGTCGGTTTTCATCTCTTTTTGCCAGTGGTGGCGGGGGGGACACCCCCCGCCATTTTCATCTGTTCCTTGGAGAGGGAAAGGGAGGAGTCAAAATCCGAACATCAAGCTCAAGGTGACTACATATAGGTGTTCTAATGTGTCAAATTCATGATTCAGCCATGTTGGATTTTTGTATGGGACAGCGACCGAGTTTGTTTACAATTTGCTCTAAAACCACCTTGAACTTCGTCAGGATTTCCCCCGGAAGATTTTTCCGACAATTTCTGGAAGTTTCTTCCAACTTCCTCTTTAAGATTTTGACCAGCTTCTTCGGATGAATTCTTATGATTTCTCTGGGAGGTTTCGTCTGACTTTGCACGGAATTTTCTTCCAACATCTCGTGGAAGTTTTATAAAACTTGCCCTGGAAGAATCTTCCACCTTCTCCCGCAAATTTCTACCATTGTTCAACGGAAGTTTCATCATCTTTTCATACCAACAGCAACAGATTACAATCAGAAGTCCTACCACTGGAAGTGGAAACTATTTCCCATTTCATCCGGACTTTTCTGAATTATTCTGAAAGTTTCATCCAGCTGCCTAAATTTGCATGGAAGTCTCTTCTAACTTCGCCCGGGAATTTCTCACAGATTGTGTCAGAAGCGTCTACCGGTTTCGTTTAGAATATTCTTCGCCAGGAAGCTTTCCTGACTTCGCACTAAAGATTCTCCGAACTTTCTCCGGAAATTTCTATCAATTTTCCACAAAAGTTGTGTGGTCATTTTTAATATAAAATATGTTTAACGCAAGGGGTAGGTCACTCCGCACACCAATCTTGAGTCATCTTTTTTGTCAGTGTGCCGCAAGTATGCCGATTGTGCCAGTCATAGAGCAAGCTGCAATTGTTTGTAAAATACCCATCCCGGCAACCCGGTATTTCTGACACCTTGAATGTTTTGGTTTGAAATCACGAGGATAAATCGGTTTGAGGATGACGCGGGAAGTGGCGAGTGTGCGAAATTTTGGTGTTTTGTGATCCATAGGGTAATTAAAGTCCTGAATTTTAGTGTTTTATAATGTCCTCAAAGGCAGACCAGAAACCTAGCCTTTCGGTCGAAAGAGTTGGAACCGGTGGGGAGCATTGTTGGAGACCGACTATAGAGGGTGATCAATAGATTTCTTTAGTTTGTTTTGTGTGAGTTGCAGCATTATTTGAATTAAGGGTACTAATGAAGTTTGATTAACTGCCTCTTCCTCTTGAGTCCACTCTAAAACCTACATTTCATGTTTAGATCTATAAGTGAACTGCTGGTCTGAGTTCCTCTAGTATTAGAAGATGTCCCTGAACATACAGTCAAACAACACGTAATGTTCTGAACAACTTCAACGACAGTTGTCCAGCAGTGCTCCCATTTTATTTACAACAATTTCATGCCTATGAGATTGTGCCGAAGGTATGATGAAAATGTGCCGATGGATGTGCCCAAGCTGTGCCGAATATAATTTCGGCACAATGTGCTGAGTGACTTACCCCTTGGTTTAACGTGATTTTCGTACGCAAAAAAAACTGCCTCTCGGGAAGTCCAACTAGTTTTCTGGTAATAGGGAAATGATAATTCTGGTAAGTTGCCCGGGCTGGAAACACTAGGTGGTGTGATAATGTTTTCAGGAGATTAATTTAGCTCATGAAAATTAATACTCAATCTCACAAAATTGGTAAAAGAGGTTTCATATTTTGTTGCACTACATGCCTGAAATGAGGAAACTCATCATTAATAATTATTATTAATAATTACGGTCTATCGTGATAAGCAACATTTTATTTACCAGCATTCATTAAGGAAGAGGGATTTAATTCTCTGAGAATATTTAGCTGGAAAATGTCAGAGTTAGGGTGAACTCTTTCCAGAAGCGTTCGTTGTTTGTACTCCTGGAAAAAGACATCAATAGACACGAGTTGAAAAAGGTTGAACAAGAACAGGTTGAATTTTCATCGTCTGGTGTTGTTGTGTTGATCAATATTTAGCACAGAAGGAGCATTGTTGAATGCGGTTCTCATCCCAGGTCAAAATAGGTTAATTCTGGCCAACTTCATAGTTGATTCTATTCCGAAACTTGTATGAAGTTTGTCAATGAGCGATCGTCGAAGGGATGTAGGAACCACCACATACCATTTTTTCATACTGGGACTGTCCAGAATATACCTTTGGATTTACTGGATTATTTGGAATCCCCCTGGACAGTCATGAATCCCCCTCAATATTGAGTAAAAGTCTTCCTGTGATTGTCCGGAAACCTCCCTAGGATAGTTCATATTCCTTCTTTGGATTTTCCGAAGTTACCTTTGATATTTTTGGGAAACCGACCTGGGATTGTCTGAAATTCTCCCTAGGCTTGTTCGGAATCTCTACTGAGACTGTCATAAATCCCCTTTGCAATTGACTGGAACCCTCCTAGAGATTGTACAAAATCCCCATGTAATAGAACGTCATCGGCATGGCAGTAAAGCAAGACAGCTCTGACTGTTCCGTACGGTCACCATAAAAATCTTCCATCGATTTTGAGGGGGCAGCTTGTAGTTCCTTTCATACACGTGCAATTGCCCTTTCATTGTTGAAAGATCTTCCCAGCAAAGCATTGCAAGCGCACCGTTTAAAATGTTGTTGCTTTGCTTTGCTTGACAGTATCGGTTACTTACCTTACCAATCAGGCTAAGGTCTTGTTGTCCTCTGCTGTCCGAAGAAGTCGTCACCACTCTACTCGATCCATGGCCACAGTTCGCCAGCCTCGTAGTCGATCCACCTTGCCCGCTGCGCGCCTCTTCTTCTTGTTCCTGTTGGGTCGCTTTCTAGAACCATTTTCACTGGGTCGTCGTGCGGCATTCAGTATCGGTTGCTATGTGTATGTTATGTTGAGCAACGCGAGTTACTCAGAGTTACTCAAAATTAACTCCGATTTTACTCATGATCAAAAGCTGTCTTGCCCCAAGTGTAGGTAGGTATATTCTTAGGCTTATTTCTTTTTGGTCCGGAATTTTAAAAACTTCATTTTCGAAACGGGTAAATGCTTCCTTAGTAATGCCATAGAAGCTAGTCAAGTAGTGAGCCAATTTAAAATCGTTAGTTTCGTATTGATTGTTGGTAATGCTTCCAAGTAAGTAAGTAAATACCATTTACCATGACCGGGTGCGTTGGGATGGAGTCAGGTGGCCGTGATCGAAGTACTCAACCTACACACCTAAAAATTTTCGCCGAGATTCCTAGACTAACATTTGAAAAGGGCATAATTCCAAAATGACCATATCGATAAAATCGCTTCCGAATTTTGATGACCTAAAAGTTAATCCTATTTCACAGCTTTCCATTTTCTGGATGATTGTATAAGCTTGACAAAACAAAAAAAAAGTTTTCTTTGTCGTGAAATTGGGCGTGGGCGTACTTTGGTTCACGTGTAAAGGGCCTTAGAAAGCTTGTTTACAAATGCTTTTGTGCCGTTATCAAATGTTATGCCTGATATTACACAACTGATGGATTGACCTGGTTGCAGCAGTTTCGATGTAATATTCAACAACTTTTTTTGCTGTGTACTGATGTTTTCTGCTCGATAGAACGGAAATGGACGATTACGACGAAGTAGCGCTCTACCCTACACCCTCGCGATTTTTTGTTTTTTGTTCCGCCTTGGTGCTTCGTTCGCAAATTTTGTTAGAGTGGAAATATGCCCGGAGATTTTTTGATCATAGCCATTACCGAGCATGGAAAGCTGGATAGTCATTTACAGATTTGTCCAGTTACCAGTTACAGTTTCCAGTAATTTTCTGTAAGTTACGGTTATTCAGCATTTATAAATGCTGAAAATTGGTAAAATATAAAATAGCATATTAGACAATGAATTTAGCAAAATAAGTACCGAAATTTTTTTAAGAAATTTGGTGTGCAGATTAGCGGGGATTCACGGCAATGCTTCTTGAATTCGACGATATGGCAGCACTGCCGATTCCTTATAAGGGAACGTCGGAAAACGAAACGAATGAAAGTACCAAAACAAAGAAATGCACAAAAAAATAAAGTTCATAGAAGTCATCCTCTGCTGGTAGCTGAATCATATTATTTTTTTTCTTATCAGTAAGTAATAGCTTTTTTATGTGGAATAAATTCCAACCATTCCCATCTTTTACCTCGTATAAACCTGCTCATCACTCTACAGTCGCGCACGCAGTGAACCTTGTTAAAAATGATACAGTTTGTGATCTTGGTATCCCTCTGCCTGTTGGTGCTGAGCGTGGACGGAGCGGACGCCTCCGGCATGGGCTTTGCTGATACGGTAGCACTAATTCTTGGCCTCGCCATAGGTACCGTCGGGATACTGGCTTGTCTGGGACGCTACGCTCGTCGGCTGCGGGCCGAACAGTTCTAATCCGGAACGCCATCACCATAGGATTAAGGTTAATTTAGTTTGTAAGCAAAGTCATTGAAGCACCAAAAAAAAAGAAGCCGAATCACATAATGAATATCCTGCGGTTAACGATGAGGCCGGCGATCATGGGACGACAATTGCTCAGGCCAGATGGTTGGAGTCAGTCGAAGCGATACCTTTCGATGGAGAGCTCGGTGACCGGTTTGTGGGTTTCGATCTCGAACAGCACTCCCGTGGCGTATTGTCAGCAAGCTTTGGTAGAGATACACGATTTCAGCGGACTGCCGTGGTGGGCTTCGATGGTCCTGTCGACCGTTCTGATGAGGACGGTTGTCACGCTACCGCTAGCTATTTATCAGAATAAGATTGTGGCCCGGTTGGAGAAGATATCGCTGGAAATGCCGGAGATTGTACAAGAACTCAAAAAGGAGACTGCAGTAGCCATGAAGAAATTCCATTGGAACGAGAAGGAGGCCCGAATTATGTATAATCATTCGGTAAGGCGTTTCATGTGTTCAATGCGCTTCAACATTCTTTAATTTATTTTTCATTTCAGTTGAAGAAACAATGGAACAACCTGGTCGTTCGCGAAAATTGTCATCCGGCGAAAACTATGATTCTCCTGTGGGGTCAGATTCCGCTGTGGATCATCATGTCGGTGTCGATTCGAAATCTGGTGCACATGCTGCCAGACCCAAGTTCGATCGATGCCCAAATCACCTTCACTGAGCTGACCCTTGGCGGATTCGGTTGGATACCGAACCTGACGGAGGTGGATCAATCGTTGATATTGCCAGTGGCGATGGGACTGATCAATTTGACGATCATTGAGGTAAGGTTCTTTTGAATGATAAATTATTTGGTATGGGATGAAATCAGGCACTGAAAGATGATCGGAATTCCATTGCTAGATACAAAATGCAGCTAGGACGCGTGAGCCGTCCAAGTTTCAGAAAGTGTTCACCAACTTATTCCGAGGCCTCAGTGTTCTTATGATACCGGTTGCCGCCACAGTTCCATCGGTAAGCAAATAACTGCTTTCGGTTGCCTGTAAACCCACAAGGTAATTCTTAATCCCGTCAATTTGTAGTGCCTCTGCTTATACTGGGTCACATCGAGTGCGTACGGATTAGGTCAGAATCTGATGCTGATGTCACCGCGCTTCAAACGACTGGTTGGAGTTCCCCTGGTACCCTCGGAAATTGCTCGGCCCTATCACCACATTAAAGCAACATTTTCCTCTAGATTCAATGGCCTATTGGCAAAGGTAGGTTTAGGTCCGAAATAAAAAAAAGCGTTGTGAAATTGAACTCATAGTTGTGTATAATAAAAAAAACATTATTTTTATTCATATAAAAATAGTAAAATTCAGTAGACCTTTTTTTCATTTCTCTATTGACTACTCCCTATAGATTTGAGTATTTTACTTTGGTCTGGTATTAAGGTACGTCAATGCCCGGCTACACACCGTACATGTGCAGCGATTGCTTCAACTTTTGTTCGATCCAATCCAGATAGTGGGCCACCTTCACGTAGACTCCGGGCTTGTTGGCATAGCCGCAGTGAAGACCCCAGGAAATGATTCCGTACAGTGTGTGACCACCTGGAAAACCCAAACACACGAAATTGTTAAATTCTCTGAAAATCTGGCTCACAAGGAAACAGGACAAATCTTACGTTCACTGTTGCACACCAACGGCCCACCGGAATCGCCTTCGCAAGCGTCAACACCGCCGTCCAGGGCACCGGCGCAGAACATTCCCTCGGTGATGTTGTTACCGTACACTTCCGGCTGGTTGCACGTGGCGTCCGAAAGCAGCGGAACCTTGGCGGCTCTCAGCTCCAAGGAGTGGACTGCAATTTCGAAAGGGGTTGGAGTTTAGTTTATGGAGGATTTTTATTTGTGATTCTTTCAGAAATTTTGGACTACCATCCGTCTCCATTATTAGAAGGTATGAGAAACTCTCTAAAAGGCGTTTTTTTTTGTCCGGAATGCGCGACAGTCAAGGCAAAGTACCTATAGCTTAAATATGTTATTAAATTACAATTAATGTTCCGGAAGGCTGTCCTGTGGTCGGTAACTATCCAAAATTCAGAAGTATAGGACAAACACACACATCTACCAGCAACTTACCAGACGAACCGGACTGCGTCGAACCCCATCCGGAAATCGTACAGTTCATGCCCTCTTGGTAGGGCTGGCCCTTCGACGGCAGACAAACCGGCTGGACAAATTCGCTGAATCTGATCGGCGTCTTCAACAGTATCACAGCAATGTCGTTGTTCATGTGATGTCCCACTCGGAAGTTCTCATGGATGTAGTAATCCTCGATGAAGATATCGATCTCCGCCTGCTCCAGCGCATCCGTATTGTAGTCACCGATACGAATCATGTACGCTCCCTTCGGATAACCGATCAAGCAGTGAGCTGCCGTCAAGATGTGGTGCTTGGAAATCAACACTGCTCCACACCAATGTACGGACTTGCCTTGCTTCTTAGCCCTCAAGGCAGCTTGCCACGGATGGTGGCCATACACGGTTTCTCCACCGTGAACCACCCGAGAACCGTACGATGGTTTCACAAGGCTTGGATCGATCTTCAACTGTCCGCAGCTATCCGGGTAGATTTTGCTGGACTTTTCAACGAAGTCAAACTTGAACGATTTACCAGATGCCCGAAGTTGTGCCGAAGTTGGCCTAGGCGTTTGCGACAGTCCACACTTGATGCCCACATCCTCACCGTGTCCACAGTTGTGCTCACCCCAGTGCCAATGTATGCAATCGTCAATCGAGGACTCGTTACCGTTGCAGGCCACCTGATCAAGCCAAATTTGGCCCGTGCCCTGTTTGTACTTGTTCTTGCGCACTTCTGCCGTCCCGTTGTACCCAATTTGCCGGCAGACTACGCGTGCTTCATGAATTCCGAAATCGTCGTCACATATGGTGCCCCAGATTCCTCGGTACTTGACTTCAACACGACCTTCCTGCTTGGTTGGACCGTCCATCAATCTAATCTCCAGTGGAGCCTGCGAATAAACGTCAAAGTTAATAGCAATCGATCAATCGATCATCTCCTGCAGGTCATCCGCATCTACTTACATTGCAATGGGTGACACTCTCGTCCGAACCGTCCGCGCAGTCGTTAACATTATCGCACAGGAAACTCACCGGAACGCACTCGGCCGATGTGTCACAAAGCCAGTAGTCGTTCGGGCAAGTCATCACAGGAGTCTTACAAACCAAGCCCAGCACTTCCTCGGCATTACAGTCGTGCACACCCCACCCGGAAAAGTCGCATTCTCTCAAGGAGCTCTCATTGCCGTTACATCTGACCTCGTCCATGATGAATATCGGAGTTCCATCATTCTTCATCAAGGCGGAATTCGCCGGGTAGAACGAATTCGGCTTCAGCTCCAAGGCACCGGATTCGTAGCCCAGCTCCCGACAAAGCACATTTCCAGCTTCCAAACTGAAGTTATCGTCGCATACGTAGCCCCATTTGTTGAACACCTTCATTTCCACTCGTCCGTGGTGTTTGTTGGACAGCCGCACTTCGTAGCCAATGTGGCTACAGTTCCCTTCGTCAGCTCGAGTTCCACAGTCGTCCTTCCCGTTGCAAACCTTGGCCTGGTCGATACATCGGCCATTACCACAAAGGAACTTTCCCTCGCATGGATCAGCAGTCGTCGTGGGGCGTTGGGTGGTTGTGATGGTAGCCATCGGTCGCCACTGGGAAGAACCCTCGCCAAAACGGCTTCTGATAGCTGGAGGTGGTGTGGTACTCCGTGGTCGGACGGCAGGATAGAATCGTTGCTGTTGTTGGGGTACAAATGGTGCCGCGGCGTGCTGCCGGTTGAGGTTTGAATTGAAGTACGGGGGTTGGTAAGGTACCGGAGGTCTGTTGGTTGGCATTCCGTAGACGACAGATTGGTAACCACCCAGCTGGGAGTTGATTTCGTATGGTGATGCAATGTATGCGGAAGTCTTGGGGCTTTGATTGATTCCCAGGACGTTTAGGTCAGATGGTTGAGCGGGTGGAGTTGTGGTCGGGTCCATCTTAGAATGGAGACCGGTCATGTTCATGGCGACATCTTTGCTACCCATGTATGGTTTGAGGAGCATTTTTAAAGCTTCACTGAGCGGCAGTTCTGTAGTGCCAAATGACAGTTCTCGGGAATTGGGAGTGACCCCCGATTGGTAGTAGGTTGGATTGAATCTAGTGTTGGCTTGGTTCATCTTTGGGGTCGTAGTGGATGGTGTGGTGCTCGGAGGTGCTACGTAGACAGGCCGTATGTCACTAGCTGCCGGTCGCTGATAAATAGGTCTTGAAGCTTGGAGAGGAATGTTCGGGGCAGAATTTGTCAGTGGCTTTTCGTCAACCTGGAAACGTATGTCAATGTCGTATGTCACATTTTCAACGTCGATCTCCTCCGCATCCGGATTGGTTGGCTTGGTTGGGCCATGTTGAACTAGATTTTCATTCCTGTTACAGTCCACGTTGTGGATGTGATCGCACACGGATATCATTGGGTTGAAGGCCGTGCCTGGTCCACAGTCCTGAATCGCGGTAGCTCCGTTGTTACAGTTCAAGAACTTTCTGCAGTCAGTCGGATGGGCTCGTAGTCCTATAACGTCCGGTGGACATCGGATCTGTACTGCGCTCGAAGGTTGATAGGAATTATCGTCATAATCACCCTGTTCGTAGGCCGCCAACTGAGCGCTTTTCGGTTTCCTTAGCCTGGCCAAACTCCGGTAGTCGTCCATCGTGGAGGACGTGATGCAGTTTACCTTAGATGGTTGATCGCATTGTCTCGTGTCCGGGTTGAACAGCGTGCCCGGAGCACAGCTCTGTATATATCCGCGACCTTTCCAACAGTTTAAAAACTGTCTACAATCCATTATGTAGACAAACTGCCCCGATTGCAGAGGGGGGCACTGTAATCCGGAAAAGGTATCGCCGCCATCGGTTGGTTGCTTATTCCTAAGTTTTGGATTGCTGGCATCCAGGATAGCGTTTTCGTTGCCGTAACCGTAGTTTGGAGATTGAAGCTTTTCCGAACGATGCTGCTGAACGGGAGGTTCCGTTCGAGTGGGTGTTGAAGAGGCCGGTACATATACGGGTTGGTGACTGGACGCAGACGAGTGATAGTGCAGATTGTGGTCGCTTCGGGCGTAGTTTGGTTCATACGCACGAGATTTGTGAGTGTGCACCTTACTGTAGTCTCCGTGGACTTGGGGCATCATGTTTACATTTGGACCGGAGTTGGTTCGCGGGTCGTAAATCTAAAACCATGGACAGAAAGTTACAACGTGACTGGTAAGTCATACGATTTATATTTGTGGATGAATTGGAGAAGCTAGAATATTTTGTTTACATGCATGTAGATCATAAATCATAAATAGATCATAAATCTGCTTGAATATAGGTCTATAGGTACAAAATCGCATCGGGAAACCGTGGCCAAGGCGAGTGGACGAAACCTGAGGCAACATCTAGGAAATACAAGCTGTCGGCGTCAAAGACGCAGACAAATTCAGCGAAGCTACACGATTACAGATAAATTGGCCAGCTCCATGACCTGATGGAATCCTAAATTACAGGTTAAAAAAACCCGAAGTTTAAGCTTCTTGATTTTATTTTATTTTTAATAAAGTTTATTGCATAATGCACACTCTTTGTCCGTTTATATTTCGCATGCTTCATTCACACCTTCCTGGACTACAATCGATCAAGGATCGCCTACTCCAGAAGTAGGTCGAATCTTCATACGCATTTTGCCTCCAATCGCACTGCCTGAATGATAATGAGTTCAACTTGTGGTCCACATGTAGATCGCAATGTGCGCGTTCAATATAACGCTCGTTCAAGTGCCAGCCGTGCTATTGTAGTACATAAGAAAGAATCGAAGTTTGTAAACAAAGGACTAGGACGTGTAGTATCAAAACATTGATAATAGATCACTTCCTATAGGACTGCTCGTATGCTTGCTATCAGCCTGAACCGAAGCGGTCGCCTAGAAAGCACCATCATTAGAACCGTTTGTATATTCGCACAGCTTCACATTTTATCTGGTGAAAAAATTCCCAGAAATGCGATGATTCACTTCAACGACATGAACGTCATAAATGTTTTTTTTTTCTCTTTTCACTGCGCATCACTTGATCTCGTCCTTTATTTGTTTTTCCCCGACTGAATTCGAAACTGATAACGTCCGCTCACAGCTAGTACATTTTTGTACCTACATCGATTTAACATTGCACGAGCTCAAAACTTACGCCATACGTTTGTCGAACTACGACCAGCATCGCCAGCAGTGTCCAGGTAATCCTTAAATCCTGGAATGCCATTGCTATTCGTGTGGAACACATGCTTTCGCAAGTGAATCCTTTATCAAAAAAAATCTCAGCACAGAACACGCGCCCTTTACTTTTGAAGTGAATAGAAACGAAACGTCCACTCCGGTCGGATTCGCAAAACACATTGAATTGAGGACCGAATGAGTGGCTCCTATATGACACTCAATTGCCGCCATCATCTAGCAGCATAACGAGATCGTCTTCCTTCTGTTCGTTATCAGTTTCTTCCGACAGACCATCGCCATCGTCGTCGTCGTCGTCGTCATCCGCTTATCAATGCATGCCGCCCTGTGAGATGCTCCGAGAGTACGCAAGAATAGGGGAATTCTCCACGCTCAAATTCTAGGCATTGTCTAATCTAGGGGAACAAAGTACAAACTGCTTGTAAATGGATAATCACTAGTTTGGAATGTTCTTGGGGATATCCTAAATAGTGACGCACTATAAGATTATCAGGCGGACAAAAATCGAAAAATCAACTTGCACCGATTGGGGGTATACTTTGTGAAAACCGAAAATGGAACATGTAACACAATTATGAAAGGTTTTGAACGTTAATAACTCAGCTGCCTCTGGACCAATTTCAATAATTTTATCACCAATCGATCAAAAATATTCCTACGCATCTGTTAAAGTTAAGACTTTCAAATTTTTCAAAATGTCACTATTGAAAGTTTCAAGAAAGTACAACTGTTGCTATCATAATTAAAATTACCGATTGCCTTCGAAAAGCAATTTCCCTAACACAGATTTCAAATTGGAATTCGATCCGGTCTCACCAAACGATGTTTATTCAATCACCGTGTGGTGAGCGGTGGTGTTCTCCATTTCACAACGAAAGCCTGCATGCATGGAGCGAGCTGCAGCCCACATGACCATCCATAGAAGGAGGAAGAAGCCGCACAGCTATTGATCGGAATCAGTAGCTCTTCGTGAGTCGCTGTGGGCCATCTATGTCAACCGCGTCGTACTAAAGAGTATAAACAGAGAGAACCCCGCTCAAATTCCTATTCCTACACCAAACACAAGCTTCTGCTGCAGTTAACAAATAAGATTTATTATATAAGACCACTTAGTCCTACGTCACCATTGCGTTCAACCCCATAGGGCTGTTCCTTGAAGTTTTTTTTGTCGGTAGTAAACCCTTCAACTAAGAGAACCTCAGAACTTCACGCCTCTAGCAGTTGTAGTTACTGAGCTATCTCTATCTGGTGTCAAAGTAAAAAAAAATTACCGGAAAATCACGCTACCGTTCAATTACATTTTTAACTACTATTTCCAAAATAACTACCAGATTATTATGCATCTTAGGACGAGTCATAGGAAAGGTTGAGTGTTCACTCGGCTGTCGACAGAAACAGACCACTCTCGATGTGTGTCACGCGATCGTCTGTTTTCTCGGCAGCAACCATTGTGTGGTCCTCCTCATTGTTCTTCATCTGCGTTCTTTCGGTCGATGCGTCGTCGACTTTGGAAAGCAACCGTTTCGTGATGAGTGTGTGAGTTCTGACCACGTTTTGCGTCCATTGTTGCAATGGACGCGCTCTGACCCTCGTTGGCGTACAACAATTTGCCATACAATGAAACTACTGGAAGTGGCTCCAGTTCTGATGGAGGAGGCTTTTTGGATAGCGGAAGATAAAGTGTTTATTGTGTTGTACCTTTTGACTATAGTTTTAAGATGTATTGTATAGTGACCAAGAATCCTCGGCTCTGTAAAGTTAATTCGGTTGAGCCTTATCAAATAAATTAATAAACAAAAAAAAAATAGGAAAGGTTATCGAAAACGAGTCATATAAGTTATACGAAAATAAAAACAATAATTGTTTTTATTTTCGTATAGCTTATATGACTCGTCCTCGATAATTATTGTAAAATTTGATTTACCAAAAAAAATATTTTAAAATGTTTAAAACATCGAAATTTTAACGATGTTGGTCATACATTTTCGCATCTCGCATATTCATTATTCACATGATAATTTTAAGCTCTGGGTCAAGTTTGGAGTGTGCCCTAACAAGTACTGAAGGAATTACCTGCCCCAACTTGCCCCATTGAAAAATCGATCAATCAGGCTCAGGCGGACAACAATTGGTATCGATTGTTTAGCGACTTTTAGAATTTTATTTGGCTGGTACTATCAAAGTACTATGTTGTTGAAAAACATTTTTTCAATATGTCAGGACCAACTTTTGAAGAGATTCGGTATAGGAACAGTTGTATTAAAGCAAAGAGAATACACGTCTACACTGTTCACAAACATCATCCTCTGATCGAATGAAACCTCAGACCATTAAAAACAAAACACCGAAATCGCTTTTTCGAATGATACCTGCAACCCGATGACGGTTGCTTTGAAATCAGATGATTTTCCTCTAGAATACTGGATGAAAATTGTTATGAGAAGGGATAGGGCCTCAGTTGAAATGCGTAATGCTCTCTGCAGAATGACTGTCATACTAAATGGAAATTCATTTGGTATTGGTTCAGCCCCATAACGCAAATCATTCAAAACGATGATGTAAATAATTCTATCGAATGTCATTTGCCGATCTGAGCTGACAAACACAAACACTTCTTGAGGGCTTGTTGATGAGTGGCAAACAAGTTGCTAACGATCGCTTCTTGCTTGATCACAGGCTTCTTTGATTACAACTTTTTAAAAAAGCTTGAGTTTTTGCACAAAAGAAATAAAAATATTTTTAAACTATGTTACAGCGGGCTTGGAGCAAGACAGCTTTCGATCATGAGTATAATCGGAGTTAATTTTGAGTAACTTTGAGTAACTCGCATTGCTCAACAACTTTTACACATAGCAACCTGGTTGTTGTGTTGAAACCTAGGGGCAAGCCAGCTGTACTTCGAGTTAATATTTTTGCATCAAGTAAATTTGAGCTACTCATAATTACTCAAAAGTGATCAAAGTAGTCTTAGATCAACAAGTGAAAACATTTTGAACATCATCTGTCAACAGTTTAAATAAACATCGACTGAAATCCAACGAACGCTTGTGATGAGGTTCCGGACAGCGTTGTCAGATATACCGATTTATCGGTATTTATACCGATTTCCAACCTAGATACTGATATACAGATCAGATTCCTCAGAATACCGATTTTTAAGGTTTTATATCGATTTATACCGTTTTTTTTTTTAATAATAAAAATTATTATTGCCTGTCCGCGCTCGAATTTCGGAGAATTTTTTTGTGAGAGACTTGCATCTTTTTGAATACCTAATATTTTTTTAGCCTTCAAAATTATAAACAATCATCTCTAAACATGCCTTAAGCTTGATACTCTTTCGACTAATGTTTGCATTTCCTCACCGTTTTTGGCTACCATCAATCGAGAATGAGTCGATGGCTGTTTCCGGCAATTTCTGTGGAATCGAGAACATTAACTTCCTGAAGTTTCATCAAACTTTCACTGGAATTTTCTTACCCCTTACCTTGGAAGCTTCTTCAGCCTTCGCCTCTGCTCCCGCCAGTTTTTTCAACTTTCCCGGAACTTCAAAGATGCTATCAGATTTTTATTGCGGATCCACACTAGCTACAGGCAGATTTAAGAGGTTCTGATACTTCAGAAAAGTCCAAACTTTTGTGTATGTTTCGATAAATTAAAGACAGTTTCATTTATTTCTGTCTGTTAAAACTCGAAATTTCTGTCTGTTAAAACTCGAAGTCCAGTGAACTCCAGTGAACTTCAGGAAACATCATAAATATTTTGGAAACTTCACAAGTCCAAAGAACTTCAGGGAAATTTGATGATTTTCATGAACTTTAGTGAAGCTCAGAGAACATCAGGACAGATCAATTAATTAATCAAATTGCTGAAATTATAAAGGAGTTCCGAGAAACTCAGGCAATTTCCGAAAACTTCAGCAATATCCTAAGGGGCTCATGCAAATTTAGGAAACGTAAGGGAAGTTACATGAACATTAAAACATTGTGAGAACATTTTATGGGAAGTTCTATGCTTTTTAATGGCAGTGTCGATAACTTTTAAAAATTAAAAAAAAATCGGAAAGATCAGAGAAGTTCAATGCTGATGTTACAATAAATTCAAGAAAATTGTGAGAGTACTTAAGAGATTTCGTAATCTTCAAGAAAGTCCAGAGACCTTCAAAGATGATTAGAAATATTCCGGTAGTCTTATTATTATCAGGGAAGTTCCGAGCACTTCGAGGATGACCTGAGATCTCCTAAACAGCCCCAAATTTCAGGAAAACTACAAGAACTGTTAAGTTTAGTTTTCTTTATTAACGAGAACTTTTAAGGAATTTCGAGGAATTATGGAATATTTCTTAGTGCATTTCAGGAATGTTCAGAAAACTTCAGGTAAATTTCGGAGTCTTCAGGGATGTTTTATGAATATCAGGATTTTTTTTGGATCATTAGAACATCCCCCAGGAATCTCTTTCTTCCGGAATTATGTCCTCGTTTCTTTCGACTGTTCCGTAAGCGCTCTGGCTTCCGACTTTCTTCAGATGTTTCTTCCAATCTACCTTAGGAAGTTTCAGCCAGCGTCTCCAGGAAGTTTCTTTCGTCTTCACCAGAAAGTTCAATTAATTCTCCCAGAAAGTTCTTTCGTCTTCTTCTGGAAGTTTGACCATTAGTCAAAGGTTTTTTTTTTGTTGTTGTTCGACTTCTATTGGAAGGTTTTTCCGAGCTTCTTCTGGCTTTCCCTGGAAATGGCTGCTTTTGAAAATTTACTTCTGGTTTCCGAAACTTTTCTGGCTTCCTTTAGATATGACATTCGATTTTTTTTTCGGATAGTTTATTTAAATTTTCGCCACAAGTTTCTCAATTCTTGTCTTGGAAGTTTCCCGGCTGTTTTTCCAACTTTTCTTAGAACTTTCTTCGAACTTCATCCAGGAGAGCTTCTTTCGTCTTTCTCTGGATGTTTTTTCGGCTTCGTTCAGAAGCTAATTCAAACATTCCTCGGAGTTTTCTTCCGGAATTTTCCGATCATTGTATAAAATCTAAAATTTTGCTTTGATTAACGGTTTTCTCAGTCTTAAAACATTGCAACGACTACGATGTAATCTGCTCGACATTTCGGCCATGGGTTGTGCCCTTTTTT